TTAATAACTGAAACCAATTCAGTGTTATTGGGAAGGGTATTCGTGTCTGTTATATTTCTTGATATTTTTATTTAAAATTTGCCTCTATTTAGGGGCACCTGGGTGGCTCAGTCGGTTAAATGCCAGACTTCAGCTCAGGTCATGATCTCACGGTTCATGGGTGCAAGCCCTGCGTCAAGCTCTGTACTGACAGCTCAGAGCCTGGAGCCTGCTTCAGACTCTGTGTCTCCCTCTCTCTCTGCCCCTCCCCAAATCACACTCTGTCTCTCTCTCTCGAAAATAAACATTTATAAGTAAGTAAGTAAATAAATAAATAAATAAATAAATAAATAAATAAATAAAATTTGCCTCTATTTAAACAAAATGTAATACACACTACTAGTTAACATGTGAACATCTATTCTTTACCTTCCAGTGTAGCATGAATAGAAAGAAAATCATTAAGAGCAGTGACGATATGCTAATCCAGGTTCTCCAATAACTACCTTTAAGGGGAGCAAGCAGATCAGACTAAGAGACCATAATCTAGGCAGTATGCATAATGTTTTTGGTATCTACATATATGGGGAAAAGGAGGATCCATAATCTTCATGGCTTTTTCATAGGAGCCTATGAAAGAAAGGGTAAGAAATTGGAACATTCGTTCTCAAACTGGTTTCCTAAGAATCTTCAGCTGAGAAAATATCTGGGCTTTGTCATTAGAGTTTTTATTTTATTGTAGTGGGGTGGGGCTCAGAAAACTTCTTTTTCAACAAGTTTTCCAGATGATTACAAAATTAAGTGGACCACCATTTGAAAAGTGCTGACCTAAGGACTAGACTCAAGTATACTTCTCTACTAGTTTTCTATTCCTGCTGTAACAGATGACCACAAATTTAGAGGCTTTAACAACACAAATTATTATTTTACAGTTCTATAGGTTGGAAGGCTGACGTGGAAGCCCATTGGGCTAAAATCAAGATATCAGCTGGTCTGTGTCCCTTTCTGGAGGCTCTTGGGGAGAACCTTCTATGCCTTTTCTAGCTTCTAGAGACCATCCACATTTCTTTGCTGAAGTTCTCCTTCCCCCTTCATCAAAGCCAACAGTGTTACATCTCTTTGAACTTTCCCCAAGGTCAACTCATTCTTCAGTAGTCAGATCTCCCTTTGACTCTCTCTTTTGCCTTTTTCTTCTAATTTTAAGGACTCTGTTATCACCAGATCCACCCCAATAATACAAGATACTCCCCATCTTAAGATCAGGGGATGAACAACCTTAATGCCACCAAGAGCATTAAACCTCTTTGCTGAATAACTTATTCACAGATTCCAGGGATTAGGATTTGGGCTTCTTTGGAAGGTCATTATTTCACGTAGCACAAGGTCCTTTACAGTGTCTGGGAAAAAAAAAGCAATTTTTTCCCTAATCTTATGTTTAATAACTTAGTTAATGAGCCTTCTACCACTTGCTGTTTTAGAATTATCTGGTCAGTAGAATCAGTAATCACTGGAATTACTGAACTGAAACTATATTTAACTTCCTATTGTTAATGAATAGCACTTAGTCACACCCACAGGCCTAGAAGTTCTTGAAGTAAGGCACTATGTCTTGTCTTCTTTCTTTCTATGACTTTTATTTTTATTTCTTGTCAAGGAATAGACACACAGCTGAACAATTGTGATGGTTAATTATGTTCATGAATTATTAAAACCAAAGGCCCACTCTCTCTTTTAATAACGCTTCCATACAGCAACTAATAGACAGCATGATTCAGATTCTTCTCATATTAAGCTTACCAGTTGCCACATGTCGTGGGTGTTTGGTATTATTCTTAAATAAGGAAAGCTGTTACTATTTAATTCCTGCATTTCAAGAGTCTAAAACATTATGCTTGCTATTTTGGGTAACTAGCCAACAGTAAATTTTAGACAGGTTCTATCGCATGGGAAGGGTGATCTCCTAATAAGTGATTATGTACTATTATTGTTAATAATAGTAACTGGTGTGTTTTAGACCCTCCACTGTAATTTACACACAGTAGATCAGAAAAAAATACTTGAAAATTTTACGAAGAGATTATCTAGGTAGTGATAACCGGAATTCCAGACTAAGGAAGCAAAGTTGTAATAGCGATCTTGTATCACATCACTTTTGGGGCTATACAACAATATGCCATATTACTTAATTTCTGGCCAAAATAAAAGCTAAAAAATGCCATACGATTTTAAATCAAGAGAAAACTATTTATAAGCTCGTTTGAGTTATACTATCAAACAAGTCACTCTCAGACTTAGACCGCTTTTCATTTTTCACACATAGGTTGTCATCCAGTTAGATCCTCTACTTAAACTTTTAAGAGATTAAAACTGTATTTAGAATAAAATCAAAGCTTCTTTCTGTGTCTCGCCAGGAACCACATAATCTGCCTCTCCCTCTCCATACATCTGCACCCCACTCTGTTCTCCCCTCACTAACTTGGGTGCATCCACACTGGAAGCCTTCATGTTCTTCAAACACAAACTCTTCTCTGCCTTGGGCATTTATCATGCTGTCATCTCTTCCTACGTCTTTGCTTGGGTAATGGCTTCTCATGTTTTAGATCAGTTTAAGTACCAGTTTTCCAGCGAAACCTTCCTTGACTATTATAACTAAACTCGATTCTCCTCACCACCCTGTCATTATCTACCAGATCACCCTTATTGTTGCTTCCCAAGAACTTAGTGTGATTTGTATTTATTAGTTTGTTTACTTGCTTACTGTCTGTTTCATTGTGGGGAATGGTATTCATTGTTGTGTTCCTTGAACACAGCATTGTATCTGTTTTCAATAAATGCATTTTGGAACATTTTTTTTCCCTCAAAGTTAAGATATGAAATTGCACCAGTATGTTATATCTGTGAACAGAAGATTTCCTAGAACGTAATTGATCTGGAACCTTAAGCTTTGGCCACACTGTTTTCTGGGCTTCTTTGTTTATTTCAATGTATTTCTTGTTTGGTTTGTATTACATTTAACTGCACATTTAAGTGATTCAATATAAAGAAACAACTACTTACAATTCAAAATCAAGTATCTGCTTTGGTGCAAATTGTAAAGGTATTTGGTTCTGGGATGGGTCCAAGGCTTCTGTATTTTTAATAAGATTCCCGAGGTGATTCTAATTCATACCAAGGTTTGAGAACACCTGTTGAATGTGTACATGGTCCTATTATATGTCTACCTATATCTGTAAATCTCATTAGATCTAACCTTTTGTTTAATCCATACTTGAGTATTTTAAACCCTCAGGTACTTCCTGACTTGGACACTAATGAGTACATAATTAATTATTAATATATTATTCTTGCTTTTACATCTCTTGTGCTCTAGATGAGGCTTTGTTCTGTCAAGCTTTATGATTCTGATATCCTGGATTTATAATATAACAAGGAATGAGACATATAATGCAGAATTTATACAGTAATCTATTTTAAGAGTTTTAGATTCACTAGATAGCATATACTATTTATAGAATTGTTTTAAAATAAAACTAATCATAAAAAGAAAGCAAGTTATTTTTATTAATTTGTAACCCTGCAAATATAAACTTTCAGTATGAGCAAATATTGGTTTCCAAATTTGTAGCTATTTGTTTTCTAATTCTGTGGGCTTACATATTGTTTTAATTGTTAATGTATGAAAAACACACGAGCTAATTATTGCCCTTGAGAGACAAATTTTACATGCATGCAAACATGTACAATTGGGAATATTGAAGTATAGTCCATTCATAATAAGCAACCTACAATTCTATTTACTTCTTGTCTTTCACCAGTTTTTTTATTCCCTCAAAACACTCTTAGCCATAGATATATAGAGAAAAAATATAGTTTATTATATCATTAAAGCAAATCTGCTATATTAAGATTGTAAAGTTCAGATCCCTTCTATAAACAGCCAATGTGGTATGAAGAAATATTTGTAGCATTTCAGACACTTATTGTTACTTAAATATACATCAAAATACAATCTTTAAACACTTTTTTTTTTAGAATGGATTTGATCCTTTTATTTAAATATGAAATAGAAAAAAAAAGAGAAAAAAAATATGAAATAGAGATAGTTTTCATTTGATAATCTTTTAGAACTTTGCTTATTTTGGACTTGGTGTGTGAATATTTTGTTAAAATATATCTTATAGACAAAGTACATCCCTCATACTCCTGAAAAGAGAACTATCTCCTACCAGGTTTGCAGTATTTGAGCTAAGGAAGTGGTACTCATAAAATGACAAAAGAATGGCTACTTTATTTGTGGTCTAAATGACCTGTAACGCTTAGAAGATAACCTCTCAAAACCCTCTTTCTATTTAGATTGTCAATGTCAAGTCTTAGTAATATTATTGCCTGTTTCTAGAACTGGTAGTAATTTTGATTTAGAGTCATCTGCCATTAATGATACTCATATTTTATCTAAAGTTAATATCACTCTTGAATGCTGAAAAAAATAAATAGACAAATGACAGTCTTCCTCAACTACTTCCCTCTACCCAGTCCTAAGATTTTGGTAGAGGTGAGATAATTTAAAATGCTCAGTGGAGACAAAGAAATTCATTTAAAAAATAATTCCTGGGGCGCCTGGGTGGCTCAGTCGGTTAAGCGGCCCACTTCGACTCAGGTCATGATCTCACGGTTTGTGGGTTGGAGCCCTCCATTGGGATCCGTGCTGAAAGCTCAGAGCCTAGAGCCTGCTTCGAATTCTTTTTCTCCCTCTCTCTGCCCTTCCCCTGCTCTCTCTGTCTTTCTCTGTTTCAAAAATGAATAAACAAAAAATTAAAAATAATAATGCCTGCATTTTTCACATAAACACATTATATTGTACTAAACCTAAAATACATTTGAGAGCTCTATCAGCTACTCAATTAGTAGTTTTAAATAGTGTACAATGTGGAACAATAAACTGCATTTTGGTTTGAGTGAAATAGCTTTTATCTACCTTTTGTGTTCTAATTCACATTTCGATGTGCTTTTGATGTTCCTAGATATCCGTGGAATACAGGAGTTTTTGGACAAAGTATCTCAGCAGGGAATGGATGTTGCACTGCAGAAGGTAGAAAACAACATCAATAAAATGATCACCACTCTCTTTGACACCTTGAGAATAGAAGAATTGAATCGCTATCGAGACACTCTTAGGCGAGCCATCCTTGTTATGAATCCTGCTACTGCCAAATCCTTCATTACTGAGGTAAGTGAAAATTGTCATGGGGTAGGGATAGGTGAAGAAGTAAATGCTTTGGAATAGACCTAACAGACAAGTTGAAAATTCAGAGAAGTGCTGGAGAATTAACTACCCAATTCTCATTAGCACTAATAGAAGTGGCACTGAATTTCTTGCTCATTGCATTTATCCCTCACTGTCCAGTTAATTGGTGAGAATGTTTGTTTTTATGTATTTAAGCACACAGCCAGGACGATTTTAAGAAATCTCATGGGAGTTCAAAAGTGTTGTTGACCCTGAATTACTTTAACGTGTTCAAGAATAAATTCTCTAAATTCTCTAACCAATCCTTAAATTTTTGCAAGTCAGAATAGTACCTCTGAGAAAAGATATACTTCAATCAGGCTATTATTGCCAGAACATGATTACTTTTACAGAAACATAGAGCAGATTTACTTCTGTGAACTCTGTACAAAGACAAATAATTAAAACTGTCTGAAGCTCTACAAAGTGATGCCCATTGTACATTTTATGATGCCACATCTTCAAAATTTTAATTGTGTCTGTTCATTTGGCTAGAAGTTCCAACACTTTGTAAGAACACAATTAAGACTTTTTAAATGATTGGTATGACATCTTTATGTTCTAAAATGCTTGCTATTGCCCTGACAGGATTATTGTCATTTTGCCTACTTCACATTTTTATTTTTATGTAGTGAGAGAACTGGTCATGACAGTACATACTTTCACCTGGGTTTTATTATCAGTGTTTTTAATTTTGGTGACTATTTGACTAATACTTTTTTCCTCACTTCTCTAGTAAGCTTTCTTTAGCTCTCAAAGTGCTGCTATAAAGCCTCCAAATTAGGAATGTGCTAGAAATTCTTTGACACTCTATAATATAATTGGTATGAAGGAACTGAAGCAGAATATAAATCACTAAGAAGAATAAAACTTTTGGAAAACTATCAATAATGGCATTTTTTAACATTTTAATAGAGAACTTTGTTATGCAGTTAAGGACGTGTAGAATATTGACCTTTTCTAATCTATCAAATTACTCAGAGAGTCTCATTGAACAATGAGATGTTTCCACAAGAGAAAGAATATTTCCCATCTTACAGGAGTTGTTTTTTTTTCCTTCAAGAAACACAAAATCTGGTAGAAAATTTAAGACAGGTACACAAAGACATATAGCATAAATTAGAATCTTAAAATTATAATAAATGAGGCAGAAGCATCTATGGTCATCTTTGGTTGGGGGTTGTGGACATCAGGAAGGCTCATTGAGAAGACACATTAGAATTGGACTTATTATCATTAGTAGGAATTCACAAAAGAAGTGTGATATTCAACAGACAGATACAAGTCCATCTCAGCCACTTTCTAGTCATGTGGGGTTGGCAAATTACTTGACATTTCTGAACCTCTGTTTTGTCATAAATAAAATGAGACTACTATATTGGTTTCAACGTATTAAATTTGTAATATAATGAGGCATCCTGTATTATGCCTTAAAGGGGGATTTGGGATGGCACCTAGTAAGTACTTAAGACATGGTAAGTTGTAGGTCATTTTTTTTCTAGCGTATAGTACGTTCCTAATCACAGCAGGTGCTCAAAAATTACTTGGTGAACTGAAAAAAATGTCAAGATGTGCAAAGACATAGTCCTTGATTGTATGCTCAGAATAAAGCAAGTAGTTTTTTGTATAGATTCAAAGTAGGATACACGGAAAAGAGAAGTGACACACACTATGTAAATCATGGATGTAAACCAGATGGCAAAGGCCTACTAATGTCAGGTAACAGTTCATATATATTTACCAAGCAGTCAGAAGTAACGGGATAAGAAGAGGGACAAGAAGATCAGTGCTTTTGCCAAATCATGATCTTTGCTAGTATTCTGACCACAGTCCCCTATCCTTGACTTTGAACTTTGATACTTATAATAATCTCTTTCCAACTTTGTTCCCAAGCGTATAAAATATATGTGTTTTTGTGATTTTCCTGAGACCTCTCTTCTTTCCTCTACCCAGACACCACTTTTCTCCCCCAACTCACTTTTCTTTCACAATCACTGATTTTATGTCTCCAAACTGTACTGTTTCTTCTATAGCCTCAATGACAGGAAGAATGTTAACCTACCCACCTTACCCATCCTAAACTAGCTATACTGTCCTTTGACCTCTAGAGTGGCTCCCATTTTCAATTAACTGTATTCAAACACCTCTCAGCTTGCTTCTGCTCCCCTATGTGTTCTAGGAGCATTTCCCCACTTAGGGAAGTAGACTGGCCCTTCAGTACTAGAAACAATTAATTCAAAAGGCAAGCAGCCTGGAATTTAGAAGGCATGTGGCATCAAAGGTCTGGAGATACAAAGAATAGTTCTTGACTTAGAGGACCACTTGATCTAGTGGAGGAGGCAAGCTTGTAACTAAATAATAAAATATGAAAGAAAAATGCTGTAACAGTGATGAGTAAATGGTTCCTATGGTAGAACTGAGAAACTCTGCAGGGAGCTGGTGTTTGGCAGGAAAAATTTCACAGATAATTTGCTTTACCAGAATTGTGCAAAATTGTTAAGAATTCATTAGGCAGACAATGAAAGGCAAACAATTCAGTGTTTGCGTCTGTGTGTCTGTGATATACAGACAGTTTTAAAAATAAAACATGTGAATATTTTGTAATTAAAAAAGCAGGAGTCCCTTAGTCTACCTTTTTCTGTCTCCATTAATTATTTCCAGAATGAATTAATTTTTAAAATTTCATTTTTAGTTTTAGAATACACATTCACATGATTCAACATTTAAACATTTCAGAAGGATAACCTTCTGCCACTGTTTCTCAAACACCCAATTATCTTCTCAAAGGAAAAAAAAAATGTGTCTTGTGTTGCATTCCAGGTATACACATATACATATACATATACATATACATATACATATACATATACATATACATATACATATACATATCATACATACACCTTTTCACGTTTTATTACACAAATAGTGGTTTACTACATATGTGCCTGAATTGTTGTTACTTAGTAACATCTAAGAGCTCATTCCATTGAGATCTATGAAGTGCTCTTTATAATTTTTAATGGTTATATAATATTTCATTAATAGATGAAGTCACTCTTAGCTTTTTTCCCCATTTCTACTTACTCTGGTGAGTATTACTAGTTGACTTATTATTTTATCATCTACCTATTTCATTTTTGCTATTATAAATGAAGACTTAGTTCATTGACTTCACCCATATTCACAATCTCTTCTCACCTTTACTCCACTGCACCTGCTGTGGAAAAGGCATGGTGTCCCTGAAGTCACTTCATGGCTCTCTCACTTTTCTGCCTCCCTATTACTTTACTTTTATATTGGGTGTGTTAAGAGCATATATATTCTACTCTGTAACCATAAATAAACCTTTCATGCCTTGGCTAAAAGCTGATTCTATAGGATGAAAATCTATAAATGTGCTTATACTTTTATTACTATGAATATTTTTCACTGAACAACAAAGTATTAGGATATGGTTTATTGAGGGCCTTTTTCTCAGGTTTTTCATTTGAGTAATTGCTTTCTTAGATTTTTTTTCTTCATTTTATCTTTGTTGGCTATTTAAAATCTAAACTCCTGTCTTTAGAGGCAAATCTCCAAACTCCTACTAATTTCCTGCCTAAGGTCTTCCCTCCCAGAGCCCTTTCTTTTCTATGCTCTTTTTGGCACTTTCTTCATCACCCACTCATCTGGGTCAGATCTACAAATTCTTGGATCTCATGTCTTCTAGTCTCTTAGTTTCCTATATTGCCTGAGCATATCCTCAAGTAACTACCAAAAGAAGGGTATGTGGAGTTAGACTTCATCATTCTTTCTATTTATGAAAATATATTTGTTCTAACTTCATATTTCATGAATAAGTTGGCTAATTATATACCTCTAGTTCAAAAATCATTTACCTCAGAACTTCATTAGCATTAATTTATTGTACTCTGGCATTCAGTCACCTGAAAAGAAATCCAATGGATGTTTGTTCTTATTTGCTTGAAGGTTGCTTGTTGTTCGTGCTTTGAAATTTTGGGAACTTTATTTTTAATGTTTTCAAATTTCACAATATGTGTCTAAGTGGGTTTCTTTTACCATCCCTTTAACTCTGTGCTTTCTAAGTCTTTTTTTCCCTTTTAACATATAAAGTAGCTTTGACTTCTCAAACGTTAATCCTTAGAATTTTTAAGTCGTATTTTCTCACATTACCTTTTGTAAAGTATTTTTTCCTTAGTTCATCTTGATCTATTTCATATTGCAGTTGTTTTCAAATGTTTTATGATCCTTGCTTGACATTAATATTTAGGAATTAATAAGTTGATTGAAAGTTGTACATATGAAGACACCTTTTGGCTTGTCCACGGACGAGCTTCCATGTAAACTGAACAAACGGAACACTGCCATTTTGCTGGAGATGATGCTAGATTTTATATGTATGTTTATGTGTGGTCTTTGTTTTAGGATAGTAATGTCAACATTAGAGTCCCCAATTTAGCCCAGATGATCTACTTTTTTTTTCAAATTTTATTTATTTACTTGGGGAGAGAGAGAAAGAGTGAGCTGTGGAGGTGCAGAGAGAGGGGGAGAGGGAGAAAGAGTCCCTACCAGTGTGGACCCTGATGTGGGCCCAGAACTCACAAACCATGAGATCATGATCTGAGCTGAAATCTAGAGTCGGATGCTTAACCAACTGAGCCACCCAGGCACCCCATATATTTTTTTTAGAAAAGAATTATATACACACACACACACACACACACACACACACATTAGAAAAGAATTATATATATATATATATGTACATATATACATATATATACATACATTATATACACACACACACACACATATCATTTTGCATGAGACAGTGTGTGAGAAAGCCATTGTGAATATCAGTATGCATTTAACTTGAGTCAGTCCTCTTTATTCACTAATAGTGTATTTGCAAATTTGCTTACTCGCTAAAATTTACTTGT